GGGACTTGTTAGTGATTGACTACTAAGAAGTCAAGCTGGAAAGGATGTGCAACGTGGCAGAGTGATTAATGGCAGAGATGGAAATGAACTAACAAGTAAAAAGACTGTGTTGAGAAGATGGAAGGAGTACTTTCAGGATCTCATGAATGTAGGATATATGAGAGAGCTGGACAGTTGCCACCTCTCTCAAGTGGAAGGGAGGGCAGCTGTGGAAAGGTACTTGGTCCAGTTGACATATCTGTGGAGGTATGGAGATGTCCAGGAGAAAAGACAGTGGACTTTTAAACAGAGTACTTAATATAACCTTGGAAAATGAGGATGCCTGAGGACTGGAGAAGTATACTGCCACTGATTTTTAAGAACAAGTCTGGTATAGAGAAGGTGTAACAGTGAAGCTGCAAGGAGCAGAAATAGTGACGGTAGATGAGGATGGAGTCATCCTTCTAAAGCAACAGACAGTGCAGTGAATTTGTGCCCATTATAGAAGCAAGAAATGCAACAAATATTTAAACTTTATTCAGTTTGCATGTGTGCATATAATTACATTAGAGGACCTCCGTTTTCATGCTCACAGCAATATATAATAGTCCCTTTAGGTTCTGGATCAGCCATGGTTAAATATTTTTTATCATCCATCCACCCTGACCTGACTGTATGCCTCCATGAGCTCACCGTCCTTCTTTTTTCCCCCTGTCATAATTATTCTGACCACTAGAGGGTGTTGCCACAAAGTCTTTATTTTTCTTTATTGTTATTTATAGTGAATCTTTTCTCAGTGTTTTTAAAAACACTGAAATAAAGTAGCTTTATTTAGCTACTGAAAACTGATACTTGCTATATGCGAGCCTCTATAGCCGCTATATCCTTAAAGCTGTATAAAAATAACAGTATAAAAACAAGTAGGATATTATTTTTTAAATCACAAGAAAAATGGACAAAATAAACAAAAAAGCTGTTAAGACAGAAATATGCAATTATCAAAATATATTATTTGTAAAGCAAAATAACTGTAGCTTTAAATAACAGTCACGTTGACTCCTGAATACAATGTTTTGTTTTTGTATTTATTTTTTGTTGTTTATTACTTTTGGAAAAATCTCATGTAGGACATCTACCTGTTTGGTGGCAAAAGCACCAATGAGGATGGCACAGTGACGTCGTCCAGTGAAATCCACAAGCTCAGTATTGGTGGGTTGGATGCTGCAGAGAAGTTAAAACTGACTCGTGTAAATCTGAAGAGTTAAAGTGTGTAAATACTTCACACTGTGTGTCTGCAGCGAAGACGAAGTGGAAGGTCCCGCTCTACGTCGGGATTCCTCCGACACGTCGGCATGGACACACCGCCTTCATCCTTCACAGCCATGTCAGCAAAAATAAAATATATTATTATCGAGGTTTTTTTTATTATTACTGTGATGTGAAATAAAGTGTTCTTTTTGTGCCTACTTGATTGGCAGCTGTATGTGTTTGGAGGGAAGAACGAAGAGCAGAATTTCAATGACCTAAAGGTGATGAAGCTCATTAACCCATCAGAGAGGCAACCAGGTACGTTATAGTGTATTACAGTTTTTTCTGATTGCTTAAGCACATTTTTGGTAACTATTGGCTATTTTTGCAAAACTCTACACACAAATAAGAAAACCTGTCACCCAATTATCAAAACATTGTAGTTCTCTTGCAAAAGCGAACACAGCTAGATTAACTCTTCACACCTTCGTAAAAATGGTGTTTTCGTATCAAACAGTACACACAAGCCATCATCTACCAAGCACACAATGCGCCAACTGCACACTGATGGTATGAATACAAAACACATCTCAATTTGAGGTCACACTTTTGTCATAGTGTCATGTAAACATACAAGGATCCAAACTTCAAGTATTGGTGTTTATTCACACTCATCAAAACCAAGACAAAGTCAGAACACAAAATAGGAATTTCACAAAAAAAAAAAAAAAGACAATCAGCTACATCATGTTGTCTTTCTGGGTCCGGCCACAAAATTTCGTCCACATCGCATGCGATATCCTCCAGTCCAAGGCACCGGGGAAAATATCTCCTTGAATGCCACATCCAGGTCTGACATGATGCCTGGTCAATATCTCCACATGCCTCCTCCATTGCCTGTAAAAGGGCTACCTGTTGATGAGGATGACGGTCGTACACTTTCCAGCGCCAGGCAGAGAAGAACTCCTCGATGGGATTCAAGAATGGAGTGTATGGAGGGAGGTTGAGTGCCATGAAGGATGGGTGGTCTGTAAACCAGTTGCGGACCAAAGCAGCCCTATGGAAACTAACATTGTCCCATATGATGACATATCGGGTCATAGCTGCACACATGGTTATGTTACCACCACGTTGTCCTGGGACATTGATGATGGCACGGTGTCCAGTAATGTTCCTGCCACGTCTCCTGGTTTTACTGAGGTTAAAACCGGCCTCATCTACAAAAAGTAGCTCATGTCCCATTGCATCTGCTTCTAGTTCCATCACTCTCTGGACAAGACAAAACAAATGCAACACATCAGGCCCATGCACAGCACTACAGTATGCACTTCCAAATTCAGAACCAATGACACTAGCTTACCTGCACATAGTCATATCGCAGTTGCTTTACACGTTCTGTGTTTCTGTCGAAAGGAACTTTGCTTCATTCTTATTCTGTGGCGCGCGCAAGTACACGACTTAGTGCAGAAATGCTTGCACTGTGTATATTTTGAAAGATGGTGTCATTATCAATTATGCGCTGCTGTATTTCGCGCAGTCTTATTACATTATTGGCAATCACCATGTTCACTATATGGGTCTCTTGCTCTGGAGTGAACATTCTGCCTCTGCCCCCAACATCTGGACGTCTAGCAATTCTGTAAAGTAACAATTTCAGTATTTTTGCATGTATGGTACTGTTGTATTTCTCATTAGAGTATGGCAGTGCTACAAAGTACTTACCGATTCTCATTTCGAAATGTCCTAATGATGCTTGCCACAGTGTAGTGGCTCAGTTTAGGCTGAACCCGTTGGCCAGCTTCCCTCAGGGTCATCCCATGGTTGATGACATGGTCCACTATTGTAGCTCTGATGTCATCAGTTATTCTGTTTCTTACTCTTCTTACCCTTCCTCTTTCCCCTCCTCGTCCTCTTCTTGCTCCTCCTTGTCCTCTTCCTCTAACATCCTCTAACCCTCTTGCTTCTTCACCTCCACGTCCTCTTCCTCCAACTTCTTCACCTCCACCCCCTCGGCCTCCTCTGATTCTCACTCTTCTCACTCTTACTGCTCCTTCCATTGTACTCCACATAGACAGCTTACCTGTGGCCTGTTTATAGTGCTTAGGCTGATTGCAAAGTGGACTAATTATCTAAAACTGTTTTCACATGTGAAAGTGTGCCAGACAGTTGGCAAAAATAGTGTTAATGATAGCCATACATGTGTATACTTTTGCTAGGAGTGTGTTGGAAATTTGGTAATTGAGTGTAAGCAGTGTTTAAAGTTCTGCAAAAAGAGTGTTGTGCAGTGAATTGTGCCTACAGTTTTGCAAAGTGTGTGTTACAAAATTGCAAACTGAGTGCAAAGCAGTGTTTGTGCTTTTAGTTTTGCAAACTCAGTGAGTGGTTTTGCTATAAGCATTAATAGTTTTAGGAATTGTGCTACAGGAATCACAGTTAGGGTTAAAGCCATCAGAAAAAACTGTAAAAGCAAACATATTTGGCTCTTGTTAAAGAGCACAGGAGCTGCAGTGGCAAAGCTGTCCACAGGATGGTGCTAGAGGAGAGGTCAATGGTCATTTAAATAGGCACAACAGGAATGGATTCTGTTTTTACACACTTTCTTGTGCACTGCAGTACTTTTAAATTTTAAGTTGATAAATTTAAAATCAAAAGTACTGCTTTTTTTTTTAAACGTCACATCAAACTCATTCCAGAAAGACAAAGAAAGAAAAGTTTTTCAATTTCACACATCCCCCACAACCACAGTATGTCGTCTTCTACATTAAATGCAGCTTTTGGGACTAAAGTCACAGTAGCTGTTTCTTTAGATTCTTTTCAAGCCATTTTTTAAACACAGGAATTAACAATGAGTAGTTATAATAAAATGTAAAAAAAAAAAAGTCTTTGTGCTCTCTGAGTTCTTTAAAAGCCATCTGGTTACCTCTCCATAGTGGAGACAATTCAACCTTGCTTCAGTCAAGGAGTGCTGCTAAAATTGTTTCTTGATCTCGCTGACCAAGTAACTCCTTATTTACTGAGTTTGGACAGGTGTTCCTAACAAAGTGTCCTAGTGGTTACAAACTTCCTCCACTTTACAAATACTAACATCCTTGTGTTTCTGAGAACACTCAGAGCTTCAGACATGGTTTTTCTGAACTGTTTGCTACTCATTTAAATTAGCACAGATGGACTCCAAGTTAGAGATACATATCGAGGATATTTAAAACAGACAAGATGCACTGCTCACAGTTTGGAGCCACAGCAAAAGGCTGGATTATTTTTTTTAAATGGAAGATTTTAGTTTTTCATTTAATACACTGAAATACAAGTTTTCAATCATGAAGTCTTAATGATTAATGAAACTGCCAATTAAAATTAAGCATACAACAAAGAAGAGCGCGCATAAACTGAGGGGAATCTATTTTATTATCATTATGTGAGTTTAATAGCTCTCATTACATTTACATCATTTACAGCACTGCACTTGCTCCATGAGAACTCACAGATGAACTTTGTGTCAGACTGAAAAACAAAAAACTTCTGTCTCCACAGTGATGAAGGAGATTCTGTCAGAGTTTGGTCTCCAG